GTTTCAAGCCTCAAAGTTTCTCTTAAAAGTTTCCATTAAAAGCAAATATTGTTTAAACTTATATTAGCTCACATAACATCTCGGTTTTAATTCTTCTCTCTTTTGTCCTTCACACACGTTGAGGTCATCTGATGACTTTATTCCAACACACCCTGAACTCAGCACAGCTTTATTCCCACGCACCCTGAACGCAGCACGCTCTTGTAAAGGACACACTCCCGTTACCATGGAAACACAGTGGGGGGGTTCAAAATAAAAGCATGACGTGAATCTTATTATCTTCAGGTCTCAAAATGTGTCATTGAACTACACAGATTTATTGTAAAGTTATATAGTTTATTATCTTTTTATTTGAGTGTCGACAGAAGAATTAAATCATGATGTTAAATCACAGAGTAAGAATAAATACGTCTCCAGACGCAGCTGCTGTACGTCAGGAGAAGTCATCAATCGTTTCACCTCAATGGACAAATGTTCACACTCCATTTACAACAGGATTCTTCTTCCTGACACAGTAACACTGAGTTTAAACCTCCACTGAAGTAGATCATCTCAGGAGGGAACAGTCATGCTCATACAAAAGTGTCAGAAGAACTTTGTGACAACAAGTTTTAAGAAGTTTTTTCACCACAATGACGAAGTCTTTTTGGACGACACAGAGTTTTATGGCCCATTCACTTCACTCAAGCATTCCAACTAAAATAAAATCTGCTCTTTCACCAAAAACCATCGGTGTAGGAAGTTACCAGATTGTAAAGCACTGTTTACCTCAACAATGTTTTGGTATCAGTCTGATTATCTCAGGACTATTTCAGATTTTATATTATTATGTTTATACCTGCTTTTGCTCTTTCACCTCTTTCTCAGGAGCTCTGTGACGTTAGAATTTCCCTACTGAGTTTAATAAAGTACTTCTGATTCTGATTCTGATCAATCAAGACTGTCGACAGGTCCATTGTTCAGATCCAATTTTTTGGACCCGTGGAGCAGGTCATCCACAATCCCTGTCTCCCCCGTCATATATCATAAACCCTGTCCCCTCCAGGTTGGTGCATGGGTTTCTATAATTGCAAAGACTCTAGCTCCACATAATCGACACAAGATGGCTGCTTATTTATAGTCTATGGTTTCAAATCGACCCGCGGAGACCTCTGATGTGTTTGAGTTTGTGCTTCACTCTTTATAACAGTCCCTCTCACAGCCAGGGGCCTTTCAGAAGACCTGAGGGCCCCTACGTCTACCCATAATGAGCACTCCTCCAAACCAAACCCTTCGAGAATTTGCTCCTTCAAATTGTCCAAACCCGTCCAGGAGTTTCAAACAGCCTCCATCCTTCTGGTCATATTTCTCAGCATGTGCAGTAAACAGCAGAGCAGTGAGAACCCTCAAAATGCTTTTAAAAGAGGACTGAAGACGTCCTCTCCACCTCACACTGCAAATATCCATCATGTCAACAATCATCAGTGGAAAAAAAAGACATTTTTAGACTCAACAGAGTCGGGGAAATGCGGTTGATCAGGGCAGACGGTTCTTGCACTTCAGAGAATAACGAGTGAATGGAAACTCCACGTTGTCCACATGTGGAGTGACACCATTCTTCTCCTCTCTCTCTTCTTTTTCTTTTTCAACTGGCTACAGGAGGACATAGGAGGACATACTTGACGACAGCCCCCGTGACGACAGGACCCGTTCAGGGTTGTTGGTCTAAACACATGAACTGCTGTGGATCACAGAGTTGTGCGGAGCAGTCGGATGACGCGTTGGTAAAGCTGCTGGACGACCGACGCCAGATTCCTAAAGAGAAACGAGTGAGAGCAGGTGGTGTCAAGATATAGAGTGAAGAGTGGAGAAGATTAGAAATCAATCGATACACGAGAATATAAAGAAAACTAAAATTATAATCAGCTCATCATTTGTATTCCTTTCATCAAATTCATAGAAGAGTTCAAATGATCTTGTTCACTGGTCTGTTATTTTCTCACATTTGTCC